CATTGTTACGGTAGTAAAGATACTTGTCAAGGCTACCATTAGGCATGAAGTCATAAACCAAGTAGAGATCTTCTTTATGTCTACAATACCCCAAAAGCCTTACTAGATTTGGATGTCTAAGCCTACCAATGGTCGAGATCTCAGCTAGAAACTCGCTCATACCTTGTCTTGAATCATGAGAAGTCCGTTTCACAGCTATCTCTGCATCGGAACCCGGGAGAGCGCCATTATAGACTTGACCAAAACCTCCTCTTCCGAGAAGTTGTTTCTCCTTGAAACCCTTTGTGGCGTTGAAAAGCTCTTTATAAGAAAACCTATGAGGTCCATACTGAATCTCCCATTCCTCAAGAACTTCTTTAACTTTCTTGTGCCTCAAGTAAAAGATGATACCGATCCACGAGGCGATAAACGCAGCGATTACGGAGACAGTTAAACAGACAGCTAGAATAGTCTTTGTTCTTTGAGATGATTTCTTCGGATATAGTGGAAGGATTGGTAGCATACCAAAATCTAACCTCGGAAACTCGATTTCTCCATTGATGAACCAACCCAGCATGTAATGGATTGCACCAACTGAACCAGTCGACGCAGTGAATCCAATATACATCTTCTCCTTTAGTAGATAAGGAGAGAGGTCTTTGCTCAACGAGAACATCGGTTTTCGAGGCGGAACAGAGATGTTAGCAGGGAATAGAGTAACGTTAAGCTGCTTATCAAGTTGACTATAAACTATAGAAAGCCTCATTACATTTCTACTAATTAAAGAAAGATTCTTAAACTTTCCATCTTTATCATCATAGTAACCAGCAGAAGCAGAGGCAACAGATCTCATACCATTAATATTAACCCCAACATGATTATCATCGATATCACCAAACTCCTCATCTTTATGTATATCTAACTCGATAGCTATCACGTTGTTAGAATCTTTACCGTTGTTTGTTTCGTTGAATATTCCTAAGTACTGATCGGAGGAAGCACCGGGTAGGCCTCTTGTGGGAGAGATAACGAAAGCCATACCGTGTGAGCCTTGATGGTTATGCTCAGGGACTATCGCGAAGAAGAAGTTGATTGAGAAAGATGTTGTGATGTTTGTTGATGAGTTTGTGAATGAAACTGGGTTGCTGTCGAAAGCTTGACCGTGTGTGTGTTTTGTTGTGTTGGTTAGAGTGAAGTAGCCGTTGAAGCCGATTCCTACAGATCATTTTGGGATGAAGTAGCCATAGGAGTTGTGGAAGAACAGAACAAGAATTGCTTCGAAGAGAAGAAACATTTCTTAGATTGTTTATTTTGTTTTGGTTTGGTTTGTGTGAAGAGTTTCATCTTCTGTAAAGTTATTACGTTGAGAAAGAAACGTGGAAACGTGAGAGGTTTGACTCTTAGGGCATTATTGCAAGTGTTGGTCAAAAATTGCAACAAGAAGTGATGCTGATCTTTCCCTACTCCTTTACGTAATAGTAATGTGAACGCATCAAAGCGAGATTTCCAAAAAAAAAAGAACGCATCAAAATTATTGTTTCTTGATCAGTTGACTATGTTTTATTTTAGTTTTACAGAATAGCTTGCTTTGAATACTATAAAGTTACATGAAAATGGCTCAATCATATAGTGTTCAGAACGAAGTAAACCGAATTGCAAGTTAAAGCACACACCATTATTAGAAATAGAACATAAAAAGACCATGGGAAGATGAAAAACTCTAAAGATTTAAGTCCTAGTGGGAAGAGCGACCATGAGCAGAATTACCTCTTCTACGTCTTCCCTTCCGAGCGATTGTGAATCACTCCATATCCTTTAGTTTATGTGATGGCTTTACGAAACGACCTCCACACAATATTTGCGCAATATCAGAACTATACGAGCTTGATGTTGCTGCCATATTAAAACCAAGTTCACCCGCCGCTTGAGAATTAAGAACTATACGAGCTTGAAGTCACTGCCATATTAAAACCAAGTTCTACAAATTATCGTGACTTATATCGATTCTCGTGAATCTTAATACCTTGTTGTATATACATTCAATGCAATAAGAACTAGATAATAATCCACGCAAGATGTGATTCTTAATTTCGTTGTTTTTAATAAGCATGCATTAAATCGTTCAATCTGGATATCGATTCGGTTTTAGGTTAGTCTTTTTGGTTTTTAACTAAACCTCCAATATATATGATCATCTTAGATATCTTGACGTTTATAGAGGGGATCGGTTTTCATATTTAGAGCAACAATAAGACACAAGGAATATGGAGATTTGGGTGACCAAAAAAAATTAAAATAAGGATAGGGAGGCTGTAGAGTGGATGAAGTTCATGAGTGTGTTAGTTCCTGAATGGTCGAGTTTTAAACTCTCCTTTTGGTATACGCTAAGCTACTTCATCGATGATAAAATTCTTAGTCTTGTGTTGTGTAGTTTAGGATGGGGAAAGACTACCACCTATATTCCCAACGGAGATAAGTTCAATGAAATTAAACTAGATGATGTAGTTAAGAGTTTTCAACATCACCATACCTATTTTCCTAGTATTGTCCAAGTTCCTACGTTCACGATGAGCGGTATGGAGCATGTTGAATCCCGCTTCGACTCCCTAAGGGAGTAGAAGTGAGCAATAGAGTTGGAGAAAACGAGTGGGACAATGGTTTCTTCGACCATACAGAGAAAATATATGTAGGAGAAAGTAACCTTGTCTTGGCTTAAGCTTGCACTACAAGAAAACTAAGAATCTACTAGGAAATTTTACTAGGAAAATAATTCCTCGTAAATTTACTACGAATTTACTTCGGGTTTACGAGGAAAACAAGTTTCCTCGTAAAGTTACGAGAAAACGTTTTCCTCATAAGACCGTAGTAAACTTACGAGGAAACTACGTGGCAAAAGACCATTTCCTCGTAAGCTCGTAGTAAATGCTTTCCTCGTAAAGTTCTAGTAAATCTTTACTACGAAATTAGGAGAAAATAATCTTTTACTTCAAATTAGCGAGGAACTTGATAGAAAATATCTAATTTAAATCAAAAACGTGTTTTGTATCTATTTTTCCTAGCAATTTCCTAGTAAATGCTCATATTCAAAAATTTCTATAAGTACCACCATTTGTGATTCATTTCAAACACACACAAAAAAAAATCAGCTTTAAGCTTGATCAAAGATAAAAAATGTCTGGTCCGGGAAATATTTTTGAGTTGCGGAAGTGGATGTATTCACACAGAGATAATAACGGGAGAGTGACGAAAGAATATCTCGAAGGGTTGGAGACGTTTATGCATCAAGCAGATTCTACACCACTCACGCAGGAAAGTGGTAAGATGTTCTGTCCTTGTCAGAAATGCTGCAATACAAAATTAGGCCCTCGTGAAAATGTTTGGAAGCATTTAACAAATAGAGGTTTCATGCCATATTATTATATTTGGTATCAACATGGAGAAGATGCTAGTTGTAGGAATGAAGGTAGCAATAGTAATAGCAATTTTCAGGTTGAACCGGTTGATCATTTGCGTAATGAAAATAGCTATCATCACCAAGAGGAACAAATGGTAGATTGTGATAGGGTTCATGATATGGTAGGTGATGCATTTATAACTTATGATGATGATGAAGTTGAAGAACCTAACTTAGATGCAAAAAAGTTTAATGAAATGTTAGAAGCTGCGAATGTGCCAATTTATAGTGGTTGTAGAGAAGGTCTGTCTAAATTGTCGTTGGCTGCTAGAATGATGAGTATTAAAACTGATCACAATCTACCTGAAAATTGTATGGATGCATGGGCAGACTTGTTTAAAGAGTATTTGCCAAAAGACAATGTGTCTGTTGAATCTTATTATCAGATTCAGAAATTGGTATATAGTCTTGGGTTGCCCTCGGAGATGATAGATGTTTGCATCGACAACTGCATGATTTACTGGGGAGATGATGAGAAGTTAGAAAAATGTCGATTTTGTAAGAAGCCACGATTCAAACCGCAAGGTCGAGGGCGTAATAGGATACCATACCAAAGGATGTGGTACCTACCAATCACAGACAGATTGAAAAGATTGTACCAATCTGAGGAGACTGCTGGAGGGATGAGATGACACGCCGAGCATACTCAGACGGATGGAGAGATGACTCATCCATCAGATGCAAGAGCCTAGAAACATTTTAACAATGTACATCCACATTTCACTAGCAATAGCCGGAATGTGTATCTTGGATTATGCACTGATGGATTTAGTCAATTTGGAATGTCTGGGAGACAATATTCATTGTGGCCGGTCTTTCTTACACCGTATAACCTGCCACCGGAGATGTGCATGCGACGAGAGTTTCTATTCATGGCCATATTAATACCTGGTCCAAAACATCTAAAAAGATCTCTAGACGTTTTTCTACAACCACTGATAAAAGAGTTGAAAGATTTGTGGTCAACAGGGGTGAGGACATATGATTGTTCAACGAAAACAAACTTTACGATGCGAGCGATGCTTTTGTGGACCATAAGTGACTTTCCTGCATATGGGATGTTGTCTGGGTGGACTACACATGGGAGATTAGCTTGTCCATATTGTAATGAAATGACAGATGCGTTTCAGTTGAAGCATGGTAGGAAGACTAGTTGGTTCGATGGTCACCGTCAATTTGTTCCCGTTTACCACCCATACCGAAGAAACAAGAAATTGTTCAGACACAATAGGGTTGTCAGAGACACTCCTCCTCCATATTTAACTGGAGAACAAATCGTAGCGCAAATCGATTACTACGGTGCTCTAGAAACAACTCCTCGTGGTGGGAATTGGCATGTTCCCAGTAATATGTCTGATTCGTATGGTGTTCAACACAACTGGCACAAAAAAATATATTTTGGGAATCGCCATATTGGAAAGATCTTCTTTTGCGCCACAACCTCGATGTGATGCATATAGAGAATAACTTTTTTGAGAACATTGTGAACACTATATTGAATGTCCCAGGGAAGACGAAAGACAACGTAAAATCAAGGTTGGACTTACCCGATATCTGCTCAAGGAGTGAGCTACATATAAAAAGCAATGGGCAAGTTCCAGTTCCGATATTCAGACTGTCATCAGAAAAAAAACCTGTCTTGTTCAACTTGGTGGCTTCAGAAGTGAAGTTCCCTGATGGGTATGTTTCAAATCTCTCAAGATGTGTTGAGAAAGGGCAAAAGTTCTCCGGGATGAAGAGCCATGATTGTCATGTCTTTATGCAGCGACTACTTCCCTTTGCATTTGCGGAGCTACTACCGGCAAAAGTACATGAAACACTCTCAGGTAATTAATTAATTAATACAATACGATCATATGATTAATTTGTTTCTTTATTTATATATATATACTAACGTGGATAATTTTTGTTTTTGTAATATATAAGGAATTGAAGCATTTTTAGGGATCTGAGCACCCGCACTCTTAAAGTGGAAGTTGTCCAACAACTTCATGAAACATCCTCGTCTTAATCTGCAACTTGGAGAAAATATTTCCGCCTACTTTTTTCGACGTCATGGAACACCTAGTTGTCCACCTCCCGTATGAGGCATTACTTCGTGGACCTGTGCATTATGGATGGATGTATCAGTATGAAAGGGCCATGAAAACTTTGAAAGGAAAAGACAAAAACCTAGCAAGAGTTGAAGGTTCTATTGTTGCGGGAAGTTTGACGAAAGAAACATCACATTTCACATCGTACTACTTTGCACCGAAAGTATGTACAAGGAAACGAGCTCCAAGAAGATATGATGATAGTGGTGTCGTGCCGACATATATGGAAGACGATGTTTCAGACATCTTTTGTCAAATTGGGCGATTGAGTGGGAAATTGAAAGAGGTTTGGTGGTCGAGTGATGAAGACGTTCATAGTGCACACCTTTATATTCTTCTTAATTGCGAGCATCCATTGATTGATTATTTTGAAAGGTAAATATATAAACATACACACTTATATATATATATATATTTTTTTTTTTCAATATTAAAAAACATAACATATATGATTTTACACCCAATTTGTGACTCAAGTCGAAGAAGCAATTCCTGGTATATCGACAACTGAGTTAGACAAAAGAAAAGATCAACACTTTATCAAGTGGTTGAGGAAACATGTATTTTTTATAGCTTAAATTTTATACATTCATTACCACAAAGGAAGTCTAATGTCTAGTTCTATTACCTTTTTGTAGGTTGATTATGACGATCCTGAGTATCTCGCATGGTTTAGCGAATTACTTCAAGGTCCAGTTGCAAAGGTCTCTGCATCATCGATGTATTTCACCCGAGACTGTACTTTTCATACCTATGACTATGGTAGACACCGGGCGACAAGTAATTATGGAATATGTGTGAAAGGCGAAACAGATTTCTACGGGTCTTGCAGGAGATTTATGAAGTTCAATTCCCAGGTATGAGTTTGAAATGCGTTATCTTCAAGTGTGAGTGGTACGACCCCGTCGTCAACAGAGGTGTTCGGATTAACAAGAATGGTGTAATTGATGTCAATGGTGAACGAAGGTACAACAAATTCTTTTTTTTTTTAATATCCAGGTTTCGAGTATTAATTAATTTCTACGTTGTCTTTATTTTTGCAGGTACAACAAGTTCGAGCCTTTCATATTAGCTTCCCAAGCAGATCAAGTTTGCTTCATTCCATACCCTCGGATTACTACCTCGGGAATAAACTGGTTAGCTGTTATCAAAGTTACACCTCGAGGACGAATAATCGCTGGAGAAGAACCACCATTACAAGAAGAAAACACCAATGAGATCGAGGAACCTAAAGCATAAATTGATGCATCCTACTCATTGATCCACATAATCGTGAACACGAAGATGTTCCTGATCACTCGACAGACGAAGGTGTAGAGGAAGAGTTTTACGAAAATGATGATGTTTCAGCAGATTACGAGAATGTATCCGAATGAATTATGTATGTTTATTAGTTTGTTTAATCACAAAAATAAATTTGAATTATGTATGTTTTAAGTTTGTTTAATCACAAAATTAATTTGCATTTGGGTTTTATGTGTAGAAGAGGTTATGAGTTTGGTTGTAGAAGAGGTTATAAGTTAAGGAAGTTGTGGTTTGGGGTTTCGAGTTTAGGGATTTACAAACCCTTTCCTCGTAAAACCGTAGTAACAGAAAACGCGGCATAGCTGTTTCCTCGTAAAGGCTATTTCCTCATAAAGTCATAGTAATACTATTACTAGGACTTTACGAGGAAATAAACGCATGCATAGCTATCTCGTAAAGTCCTACTAACACTTTTACTAGGACTTTACGAAGAAATAAAACGTAGGCATAGCTATTTCCTCGTAAAGGCCTTGTAAACTTACTAGGGCCTTACGAGGAAACAAAATTCCCTATATAAACTCGAGCCATCCGATTTCTCTCATTTGTATTAAGCTTCTCTCTGAATCCTCTTAAGGTTCTCTCTATTTCCTAGTTAGGTTATTAGATTAGGGAATTTAGATTAGGTGGTTAGTTTAGGGAATTTAGATTAGGTGGTTAGTTTAGGAAATTTAGATTAGGTTAATTTAGTTTTTAACCATTTTTTAAAGATACTAGTATATTAATGTTTTAATTT